CTTTCGGTTGCTTTCATAGTCTTCACCTTTGGTCTTCTGCTTTGTTGAAAAGGAAAAATGATTTACAATATTTAAACCCAAGTTTTTTTTAAACTGGACCTCTGCATGTAGAGGAATAGTAAAAGGTTTTTTTTGAGCCGCACACACAATCATAATTGAAGCTTGCAATGATAGTAGGAAGTCGTGATGTTTTGTTTTCCAATTAATTTTGTTTTTCAATCTTTCCCTAGAAGACCGAGACAAGAAGAATCCGTAAGTAAGACCTTATATATGGTAGCTAGTAATAATAAGGACTACTGGACCAATTTAAGGCCAATTAGTTCACATATTGTATGGGCCCGACATACCGGTTAAAGTTGGTTCTACACCTTCAAGTAACTGGATTCAATTTCGTGATCACTACAAAGATTAAGTGTCTCACATTTTCTTAAAAAAACATCTCGTTTGTAGAATAATACTACAAAAGCAAAGTATTGAGGCTTTGTTGCCATTTGGTATTTGATATAAATATTTGGAGCAAAGTATTGCATGTTACATCTCGATAAATAACACGCAGGAACAACAATAGTTTATTCACAACGTTTCAGAGCAAAAGAAGATAGAATCTGAAACACACAAAGATTGTTGAAGTCGAGTTTCAGTAAAAAGAAGGCGAAGAGACACATCACAACAACAAGAATCTAAGAAATCTATAGAATCAAAACCCTAGAAAGCAACATGCATTACGCGTGGTAGATAGATTACCTTGAGCTAGCAAAAATGGCGATGGTAGAACAAGTGAAAAACTGAAGAGATTAACTTCTCACTGGCAAAAAGAACACACATATGAAGATCATAAGAGAGTCGAAATCAGAAGATCGCAAAGCGAAAACGAAGAATTGAGACGAAACCCTAAAGACTTACAGAGAAGAAGAGCCAAAGAGATGTGACTGAGAGTGAGTGACTTTTGAGTTCTCATCACTCTTAGATAGATAATCATTTATTACTGTAATAAAAATTACCTTTTTGATTTTTTCGTAATCCCGAGAGTATATAAGGCCTTGTAGGCCCAATGAAAGCAACATATCGCATAGGCCCAATAATCTAAGATCCGGTCTGTTCCGGTTATCACGGAAATCGACTGATCTCAAATGCGTTTTGGAAACAACGCGGTCGAATCGGGACTAGTGAACACTGAACAGAGAAGAGAAGAGAAGAGGCTCGTGAAAACCTGCAAAGATACTGTTCACCAAAGAAGAAGACAAAATTTGGGTTCTTTACGCCGGAAATTTCAGTTAAAGTTAGGCCTTTTATTATATACTCTGTTCAATCGGAAAATGATGACGATGGCGTCAAAAGCCCATTAGATAAGTCAAGGCGAGAGCTTTGGATTAGATTCTTTCTCCTGTCTGAATCAAAAGCTTCTCTCTTTTTAGCTTAACACGATGAAATTGGCGTCGAGCTTGTTTCCGAATCAATGGCGTCTCTTAGCATCACCACAGCTTTGTTTCATTTTCTCCACAGGTACTACTTTAATCGCTTCCCTCTAATCCATGACTGGTTTCGTTCTTCTTCTCCTCTAACCTCTCTCCCTCCCACTCTTTTTCAGCCTCAAAGTCTCACACTTTCTGGTCTCCAACCTTGCGTCAATGTCAGAATCTTCAAACAGCTGTTTCTCCAGTCGTCACTTCAAGCTACCTTCCCACTTCTTACATTACTCAGAAGCAGATTGAAATCCCCACCTCTCCGGTAAAAATCTCCCCTTTGGAACCATTGTTTACCTTCTTTGAATACAAGTGTCCAGCTTGGGGTTATAATTTGTGAGGGAAAGTAACGGTTTGGGATTTGGTTTGCAGGAAAAACAACCACCAGTGCAAGAAGGTTTAGGTGCTTTTCAAAAACTACCAATGGTTATGCCATCAATTGATTTATATTGTTCTGCACTCAGGAAGTCGAAAAGAGTCCAACCAACAAAAGGTAATTTGATTCTTTATATCATCGTTTTGTTCACACATTCAGACTCTTTAACTGAG